CTGCCCCAGCCCAGCTCCCCCAGCCTGGCTCCAGAGCAGAGGACATCTACCACTGTCATGGTGGTGTCTCTTCTGCACCCTGACTCCAGCCCCTCTCCCCTCTGCAGGTCCCCAGGGAGCGGCCTCTACAGTAACCTGGAGCAGTACAACATCCCCTATCCAGAGGCCATCTTTGAACTGACCTATTTCTTTGTCAACCCCAAGCCTTTTTTCACTCTGGCCAAGGAGCTCTACCCCGGCAACTACAGACCCAACTATGCCCACTACTTCCTGAGGCTGCTGCATGACAAGGGGCTCCTCCTGCGCCTCTACACCCAGAACATCGACGGGCTGGAGCGAGGTGAGTTCTCCTTGGCCATCGCTCAGCAGCAGCGGGCCGGGAAGGGATGAGGGTGGGAAGCAGAGCAGGAGGCAGGACTGGGACAGGCCCAGGGATGTTCCTGGTTTCACCTCACGCTGGGCTGGTTCATTCCCATGTGCTGTGTTCCAGTTGCTGGGATCCCTCCCGACAGGCTGGTGGAAGCCCACGGCACCTTTGCCACTGCCTCTTGCACCGTGTGTCGAAGGAATTTCCCAGGAGAGGACTTCAGGGTGAGTGCTCACAGATGGGCATCAACACAGGTCAATGGAAGGAGGAGGAGGAGAACCTTTGCAGGGCTGTGACTCTGCCCTCAGGCCCAGGGGGTTTATTGGAGGGGCGCAGGCTTGGGGCTGGCTGGTTCTGCCCCTGGCTGTGGGTACACTCTCGCTGCAGGGGGACGTGATGGCAGACAGGGTCCCTCGCTGTCCCGTCTGCACCGGGGTCATCAAACCCGACATCGTGTTCTTCGGCGAGGAGCTCCCGCAGCGCTTCTTCCTGCACGTGGCAGACTTCCCCATGGCTGACCTGCTCTTCGTCATCGGAACGTCCCTGGAGGTCTGGGGCCCGGGGGCACAAAGAGAAGGGCCTGGGGGAGCCTGGAGGAGGGAGGGTTCAGAGGAGAAGGTGAGAAGCTGGGTTCTTGAGGTAGAATTTGAGGTGGCAGGTGAGAAAGGGGGTGCATGCACCAGAGACCCTCCGGAAACCCCCTGTGCTCTGGAGAGGGCACCTGGAGAGTGAGAGATGAGTTTTGTGGCTACCTGAGAGAAGGCCCCAGGTAACTGGTGACACCCACAACCCATTCAAAGCCCACAGTGGGAGACCAGTTGCACACAGCGGTCACAGCTCAGGGTGAGTTCGTGCCCTCAGTGGGTGATGGTCTCCCTGCCCCTCGGGTTGCAGGGGGAGCCCTTTGCCAGCCTGGCCGGGGCCGTCCGCCGCTCCGGTCGCCGTGT